CTCCAGAAGGTTATCGCTGAGGTTGAGGTCTGTCAAGACCGGGAGATTTTGGAAGCTTCCAACCTGGATTTTCCTGATTCTACAATTCGTTAAATAGAGATGCGTGACTTTTGGCAAATTACTCACGGAAAGTTTGCCCAATACGGGAATATTTTGATTCTGGATTACGACCTCACCGAACTCACCCACGTAAGAACGGAGATAATCATCGTACGATATCCTCACGATTTCCTTATCTTCCATGTGACTGTGCCACTTCAGGATTAACGAAACATTCTCGAAGATCGCACTGTTGATGGGTTTGCAGACACTCAGAAATAAAATTAAATACCATAACGCCCGATTACAGTGGGCTGTTGCTAATAATAAGGTTGCTTTATTCACTGGCATTATTGTTACGTTATAAGCAATAAAAGTTAATCGGCTTTACAACGGAAGATGTGGTTTTAACTGATATAAGCATTCTATTACGTCGTGGGTACGTGGGCTGCGAACTTGTGCCATATTTATTTTTAGTGTGCATGAAATGATGTACGGAGCGACACCTACAGTAAGTGAAAGCAAATGGTTGAGGGAAAGCTAGGAAGCAGGATCTAGTTTCTAGTATTTTTTTTGTTGGAAGATTGGTTTCTTGTAGTCCGTCGTGGAATCGCTGCGGAATTGGTCCGGGTTTTTGCTTGCTGTGTAACGCGAGCTATTTTGAAACTAGAACACTTTGGGTAATCAGTGCAAGAATGCAGTAGAAACCCGAGAAATGATGCACCGAAGTCGAGTGAATTGCATTTTGCGCTTTAAATTTCGATATTGCATTCCACAGAGGGTTGAGTGAACTTTTAATTGACCTAGTTTGAAGGATCTATTTAAAAATTTAGCTGGACTAAGTTGTTCAAAATGTGTTTAAAATGTATCGAAACAAGTTATATGTACAAGGTCGATAAGAATAAAGCAGAACTGACAAAATATTGACATTTTGAAACATGATTTCTGATGATTGGCTTTATTGTAACAATAAATTTCTAGACTTTCTGTGAAGGTAAATTATTTACAAAAACTTGAACTTAAGAATTCGAGCGCAGCGAGCACGTTCAGGTTGCTACAGTCATCAAATTTTGGTTTAAAAGTTATTTTTAATAACCTGACACTAGTTTTTTTGACACTTTTTCCTTCAGTAATTTAGCTTCTCGGCGACACCCATGAATCATTTTTATTATTAACTGAACGGGCTCGCTGCGCTCGCATTCTAACGTGGATTTGTTGCAATAATAAATCTGTAGACTTTCTGTGAAGGTAAATTATTCTGACTCAAAAAAATTAATTTATGCGTGAATTTATTTTATTGATTTAATCAGCAACTCCAAACCCGAATCAATTGAAATCTTTGAGATGTTTTAAAGTTACCATAAACATGGTAAATTTTTAATCAAAATGTATTTGCTCATCCCCCTTAAAAATTGATGACGTTACCTCAACATATTGCTGAATATACCCTATCTTAAATGTACAAAATATGATGAGTCTATACTTGTGCTTTAGTTTTAATACTTACATAATTAATATTTTTTGGATTTGCTTATACAGGGTGTCTCAGGAAAATGAATGACTGAGTTGTTAAAAAATAAATTTCCAGTCAGATTTAGGAATTTAACTCGTTACTATGGAAATTTTCAAGTTAACTCCTTTTAAGTTTTTATAAGTTTAATAGGGGCAAAATCAGTCTTATCTTACCAAATACTATTCCCGCCCACCCGCTCTCTATTTTCGCAGAATTCATGTCATTTGTCACAATCAGTCTTATCTTACAAAACACCTAGCCCCGCCCCCCCTCCCCCTATTTTCTCGGAGGATATATGATTTGCCAAAATCAGTCTTGTCATACCAAATACTAGCCCCGCCCACCCGCCCCCTATTTTCTCACAGGATATATGATTTGCCAAAATCACTTTTATCTTACCAAGTACTAACCCCGTCCACCCGCCCCTATTTTCTCAGAGGATGTCATTTGCCAAAATCACTTTTATCTTACCAAGTACTAGTCCCGCCCACCCGCCCCTATTTTCTCAGAGGATATGTTATTTGCCAAACGCACTTTTATCTTACCAAGCACTAGCCCCGCCCACCCGCCCCTATTTTCTCAGAGGATATGTCATCTGCCAAAATCACTTTCATCTTACCAATTACTAGCCCCGCCCACCCACCCCTATTTTCTCAGAGGATATGTCATTTGCCAAAATAAGACTTATCTTAGCAAGTACTAACAAATACTACCCTTTGAGAAAATAAAGAACGGGTGGGCGGGGCTAGTACTGGCTAACGTAAGTCTTATTTTGGCAAATCACACATCCTCTGAGAAAATAGGGGACGGGTGGGCGGGGCTAGTACTTGGTAAGATAAGACTGATTTTGGCAAATTATATATCGTCTGAGAAAAAGGGGGCGGGTGGGCGGGGCTAGTATTTGTTAAGACAGGACGGATTTTGGCAAATCATATATCCCCCGAGAAAATAGGGGGCGGGTGGGCGGGGCTAGTATTTGGTAAGACAAGACTGATTTTGGAAAATGACATATCTTCTGGGAAAATAAGGGGCGGGTGGGCGGGCCTTGTATTTGTTAAGATAAACTGATTTTGGTCCTATAGATTTTGTAAAAATTTTGTGAAGATAAAGGTATTAAATTACAATTTTAGTTTAATTCCAAAATCTACCCGAAATGTGCAAAATATGATGAGTGTTCAGTTTTTACCCTAGACATCGAGATTTTTGAAAAAAAATCGAAATAATTGTACAACGTTTTGTAATTTAACGTTTTAAGATTATCGTAATCATAAATCGTTCATGAAAATTGATTCGTTTATCCTCTTCTGAAAAATTGATGACGCCATCCCAAAATTTGTAATGGAAAAACTCACCTGAAATAGGGATGTTTCTTTACATTTATTTTAACATTACGTACATATCTTTCACAAAAGCAAATCTTACAATTTTTCCAAAAATCTGGATGTATTTAACGTCAACCAATTTTTTTATCTCACAATTTTTCGTTTTTATTTTCTTTATTTTTTCAAAATTTTTCAGTGTTTCCGTTTCATAATTTTTCGTTTTTTCAACTTCATTTTTTTAATTTTTTTAATTTTCCGACTTGAAAATTTTTCAGTTTTTGATTTAGCAATATTTCGATATTTGAATTGTTCGTTTTTCGATTTTTCAATTCTTCGTTTCGTCACTTTTTCAAATTGTTGATTTTTTTTATTTTCCCGATTTGTATCACAATTTTTCCAAAAAGCTGGATGTATTTATCGTCAACTTTTTGTTTTTATCTCACAAGTTTTCGTTTTTTATTATCTTTATTTTTTTCAAAAATGGTCGGTGTTTCCGTTTCATACTATTTCGTTTTTTCAACATCATTTTTTTTATTTTTTTAATGTCTCGACTTTTTTTCGATTTGCAATTTTTCAGTTTAGCAATATTTCGATATTACAATTTTTCATTTTCCGATTTTTCAATTTATCAATTTTTGATTTTTCGATTTTTAATTCTTCGTTTCCTCACTGTTTCAAATTCTTGATTTTTATTTTTTATTTTCCCCATTTATGTCATAATTTTTCGTTTCTTCATTTCTCTTATTTTTTAATGTTCGTCTCGTCTTTTTAATTTTCCGTTGATTCAATTTTTCAAATGTTCAATCTGTCCTTGATTTTCCAATTTTTAAATTTTTTCAATTTTGCAATTTTTGGATTTCCGATTTTTCATTTTTCCGATTTCTTTAATTGTCAATAACTGAATCGAAAATCGATTTTATACTTTTTCGGTTTTTAAGTTTCTCGATTTTAAATTTTTCGACTTTTGAATTTTTCGATTCCTCCTCCTTTTTCAAGTTCTTGATTTCCTATCTTTAAATTTTTCAAAGATTTCGTTTTATACTTTTACAATTTTGTATTTTTTGGTTCGAAAAGTTGAAAAATTGAAAAATTAAAAATCGAAAACCAAAAAATCGAAAAAAATTAACCAATCGAAAAATTGAAAAGAAGAAAAAGCGAATCGAATCGAGAAGTCTATAGTGGTGGTTTATTATTCCATTTATATTTGTTAGAATTGCTGTGGAAAATCCAAATATTGTAAAATCGAAAATTATAGAATCGTCAAAACTGTAAAGTCGAAAAACCAACATTGTAAGATCGAAAACTGAACAATTGAAAAGTCGATTAAATGAAAAAATCCAAAATCACAAAATTGAAAAAGTGAAAAATACAAAAAATTAAATTATTATTACACTTAATGGAAATAATCGAAACTAGAAAAATCGCAAATTAAAAATTGAGGAAACGAAAAATTGAAAAACAAAAAATTCAGAACTCGAATGATTTTAAATCGAAAAATTGTAAATTCAAAAAATTGAAAAATTCAAAAGTTGGAAAATCGAAAAACTGAAAAATTTAAATTGAAAACCCGAAAAATTGCAAATCAAATGACTGAATAAACAAAAAAAAACAAATTTAAGAACAGAAAAATTCAAGTCAAAAAAGCTGCGGGAAAATCGCAAAAAAATTATTAGTACTTACTTGGTAAGATAAAAGTGATTTTGACAAATCACATATCCCCTAAAAAAGCGGGGGCGGGTGGGCGGGGCTAGTATTTGGTAAGGTAAGACTGATTTTGGCAAATCATATATCCTGTGAAAAAATAGGGGGCGGGTGGGCGGGGCTAGTATTTGGTAAGATAAGAGTGATTTTGGCAAATGACATGTCTTTTTGTGAATAATTTAGCTTCTCATCGATACCGATAAATATTTTTTAGTATTAACGGAACGTGCTCGCTGTGCTCGCATTCTAATAGTTTTTTTTTTTAATTTAATCTCACAAAGGTTTGAAAACGCCTTTTCACGGGTGGGTAATTCACAGTTAAGTATTTGTTGCGACACGGTGCTAAAATCTAAATTTATCAATCAGTGCGATAACAGAACTTTGGACAATGAGGTGTGAATAACAGATAACAACACAAACATCACTTATATTTTTAAACAAAAATATATTTAGATTTGCAAAATTGATCGTGTAAAATTGGCATCATTACATAGATCTTCGGAGCAAACGCCACACGTTACAACATTTCCTTCAAGAAGTTGAGCTATATAATCACAAGTAAGTTGGTCATCCGAATTTGGGGAAGAAATACATCCTCTGTAATACCCTTCTAACTCCGTACTGGTATCACCTAAAAACACATTTAAAGAATTTTTTTTAAATTCTGTTACACTCACCTGGTAAGTAATACATTGTGAAACACTCGCTTGTTGTATCTTCGGCTACATCACACAAAGTTGTTTTTACATTACTTCCATAAGGATCCAAACATTGTTGAACTTCCGACGGATCACAGTCATAGCACTCCAGCGCCTGTTGAACTAAACCAAAGCAATTTTGTTAGCCGAATTGTACCGAAAACTCACCTGCAAACAGGGAGACAATGAACAACAGCTGCAACTTTTGCATGTTGTATAAACCTAATCGCGATTTTTTAGTTTATCTTACCTGTGATAAACGCCAACAAATCGATTCATATCGTCAGGTTTTAGAATCACCGCTGTTACATCATAAACAGAGTTGAGTGAACTTTTAATTAACCCAGTTTTCAACATAAGGTTCTTTTGAATTATTGTTTTTATTTAACTCGCGACTAACGAGGAAGCCGCTACTCATTCGCTTTATCAACACAGTGAACAGGATAATTAACCACAACACACACACACACACATATTTTTTATTATAAAATAATATTACAGACATTAGTTAACCATCAAACAAGGAATTTTTCGTTACAATTATTTTCGAGATTCTTCATGTTGTAGACAACCCAGACGTTATTCTGAATTTGGAAATTCTTCCATCGTTCCACACAGACACAAGTGAAGGGGTTACCGTCCACGAACACGTAGCTTATGGTAGAGATATCAAACACTTCCATCGGGAAACAACTCAGACTGTTGTTCAACAGAATCAACTGGTTGATGTTAATGTCGTCGAAAACCCCATTCACGTGATACAGGTTGTTGTTAGTCAAATCTAAAGTGTTGATGTTTTTCACCGAATGGAACACTTCTCGTGGTAACTCTTCCAAATTGTTATCAGCCAGACTGAGATAACCGAAACCGTTGACGTGCTTAAACGCGTCTTTGTGGACTTTCTTGATCCGATTTTGAGCCAAAACCACGTTCCAGACGGTCAACGGAACGTTCAAACGTTTGAACTTCAACCCGAAGTCGAACGCGTGAGGTGGTACCTCTTCGAGACGGTTCTTCGCTATGTAGATCGACCCTACCGGACTACCAAGAAACCAGTTGGTGTTCCAAGCCGAAATGCGATTATTGTTGAGCGAGATTAGCGTTAAAGTCATATTATTAAACGCGTTATTTTCAATTATGGAGATTTTGTTGTTGTTCAAGTAGATAAATTTGACTTGGAGACCTGTAAAAACCCCATTTTTGATTTCTTTGATTAAGTTACCTTCCAGGTTTAGTCCGTCTAGCTTTGGTACGTTTTTGAAAGTTCCGGGTTCGAGCTCTGTGACTCCACTGGAAATTATCGATAAATGGACGATGTTAGATAAGTTCGAAAGCGAGTTTTCGACGAGTTTCGGGATTTTTTGGTTGCGGATTGTCACGACTTCGAGGGGTTGATGGTTGATGTAATCGGTGAGGGTTTCGGATGACGGGATAAAAATGGCCGCGATGGGTGGTTTTCCATAGAGGAAGAGTTTGCCCAGTTGGGTTGTCAATAGCACTGTTACGTTTTCGAAAGTCGCGCTGTTGGCGAAATCTGACAACAGGATTGTCAAGACGAAAGAAACAAGTTTGGTGTTCATGGTGTCGCAGTGGAAACTAATGCGACTAAGTTTATTTTTGACCCTAAAATTAACCTTTTTATCTATGTGTGTTCCACATACTTTAGATATCGATTAATATTTATGATCTCTGTCGGTTGATGTTACATCTATTTGTGTCACAAGTTTCGCACCATGACACAGCCCCATTGGTCAAAGTTCGTTGTAAATTTTGACAAATCGAGTGTGCGTTTTCAATTTTGCAATTTTTGGATTTCCAATTTTTCAGTTTTCTGATTTCTTTAATTGTCAATAATTGAATCGAATTCGATTTTTACCTAAGAAATCAAAAAAATTATGGAAATCCAAGAAATTCAAAAAAATTCGAAAAATACAAAAAATCCAAGCAATGCAAGAAATCCAGGAACCTTAACAAATCCAATATTCCAAAAAATCGAAATATCCAAAAAATAAAAAAAATCCAAATAGTCGAAAAAAAAATTGAGAAATGCAAAAAACTAAGACCCTCAGGAAATCCAGATAGTTCAAAAAAACCAAAAAGGTCAAAAAATTCAGGAAGTCCAAAATGTCCAAAAAATCTAAAAATTCCAAAAATTCCAAGAAATTAAAAAAATTAATGAAATCCAAAAAATCCATAAAAATTCGAAAAATTAAAAAAATCCAAGAAATGCCAGAAACCCAGGAACCTTAATAAATCCAATAATCCAAAAAATCGAAATATCAAAAAAAATAAAAAGAAATCCGGACAGTCCAAAAAAAATCTGAAGAATGTAAAAACTCCAAACAGTTCAAAGAAACTAAAAAGTTAAAAAAATCCAAACAATTGAAAAAAACCAGGAAGTCCAAAAAATCTAAAAAATCCAAAAATTCCAAGAAATTCAAAAAATTAATGAAATTCAAAAAATCCACAAAAATTCGAAAAACACAAAAAATCCAAGAAATGCAAGAAACCCAGGAACCTTAAGAAATCCAACAATCCAAAAAATCGAAATATCCAAAAAAACGAAATATCCAAAAAATTTTAAAAATTCCGAATATTCCAAAAACTGACAAGAAATATTCGGCTACAAAAGGTGATAAAAAGACCTAAAAAACGGGACAAAAAGTCCACAAAAATACTCGGCTACAAAAAAAATGACAAAAAAAGAACCAAAAAATTATAAAAAATGTGAAAACAAAGGACAAAAAACAAAAAAAAATGGGACTAGAGAAAGCGGTTAAAAGGTGAAAGAAACATCACAAAAAAACGAGAAAAAAAAGAAAAAAAAAAAGGTGACAAAACCAGATGAAAAGCACGCTATAGAGAAAAGTTACCAAAAAAAATTTTAAAAACCCACAAAAAATGTGAAACCATGAGATAAAAAATCCATACAAATTTAAAAAGTCTACACAAGTCTAAAAATATTCCATAAAAAAAACACAAAAATTTACAAAAAAAAATAAAAACAGGACATAAAGTCAATAACACAAAATGAGAAAGACATTACAACAAAAAGTGATAAAAAAACAACGAGTTTACAAAAAAAAACAATAAAAAAAATTGTAGAAACAGTGGACATAAAGATCTATAAAAAAATCAGAAAAATAAGGCCAACAGAAAAATGACTAAAAAAAGGGGACTAAAAATTCCGAATAAAAGGCGGAAGTCAGAAAATGCAAAAGAAAAGGTCACAAAAAAAGAGAACAAAAAACCCTAAAATAAACCAACAAATAATTAAAAAACAGCTTCACAAAAAGAAGACAAAAAAATCAACAAAAAAATGTAACTATAAAAAGTAACAAAAAAAAGAGAAAAAAGAACAAAAGTTCACAAAAATGTCCAACAAAAAAAGCCAGTAAAAAAAAAAACAAGAACGAGCTGAAAAAAAGTGCCAAAGCAATCACAAAGAAGAACATAAAAAAAACAAAAAGTCGCCAAAAAAGACAGCAAAAGATGCGAAAACACGACAAATAAAGAAGACAAAAAACGCTACAAAAAAGGGAGCCAAATAAAAAATTCGCTAAAAATGATAAGAAAAAGTTGTCTACAAAAGTGACAAAAAAATCATTCAAAAACAAAAGAAACGAGTCAAAAAAGTCCACGAAAAGTGACAAAAATGCAAAAAATGCAATAAACAAGGATAAAAAGTTCACAAAAAATTTGAAAAGAGAGGAAAAAATATCCATAAAAGGAAAAATCACTAAAGAAAGTAATCAAAAGGAGGAAGTCATAAAAGGCCAATGTTTAAATTTTTCGATTTTTAAATGTTTCGATTCCTCCTCCTTTTTCAAGTTCTTGATTTCCAATCTTTAAATTTTTCAAAGATTTCGTTTTATACTTTTTGGTTTTCTATTTTTGATTTTTAATCTTACAATTTTGTATTTTTTGGTTCGAAATTTGAAAAATTGAAAAATTAAAAATCGAAAACCAAAAAAATCGGAAAAAATTAATCAATCGAAAAATTGAACACAGACACAAGTGAAGGGGTTACCATCCACGAACACGTAGCTTATGGTAGAGATATCAAACACTTCCATGGGGAAACAACTCAGACTGTTGTTCAACAGAATCAACTGGTTGATGTTAATGTCGTCGAAAACCCCATTCACGTGACCCAAGTTGTTGTTAGTCAAGTCCAAAGTGTTGATGTTTTTCACCGAATGGAACACTTCTGGTGGTAACTCTTGTAAATGGTTGTCAGCCAGACTGAGATAACCGAAACCGTTGACGTGCTTAAACGCGTCTTTGTGGACTTTTTTGATCCGATTTTGAGCCAAAACCACGTTCCAGAGGGTCAACGGAACGTTCAAACGTTTGAACTTCAACCCGAAGTCAAACGCGTGAGGTGGTACCTCTTCGAGAAGGTTCTTCGCTATGTAGATCGAACCTACCGGACTACCAAGAAACCAGTTGGTGTTCCAAGCCGAAATGCGATTATTGTTGAGCGAGATTAGCGTTAAAGTCATATTATTAAACGCGTTATTTTCAATTATGGAGATTTTGTTGTTGTTCAAGTAGATAAATTTGACTTGGAGACCTGTAAAAACCCCATTTTTGATTTCTTTGATTAAGTTACCTTCCAGGTTTAGTCCGTCTAGCTTTGGTACGTTTTTGAAAGTCCCGGGTTCGAGCTCTGTGACTCCACTGGAAATTATCGATAGGTGGACGATGTTGGATAAGTTCGAAAGCGAGTTTTCGACGAGTTTCGGGATTTTTTGGTTGCGGATTGTCACGACTTCGAGGGGTTGATGGTTGATGTAGTCGGTGAGGGTTTCGGATGACGGGATAAAAATGGCCGCGATGGGTGGTTTTCCATAGAGGAAGAGTTTGCCCAGTTGGGTTGTCAATAGCACTGTTACGTTTTCGAAAGTCGCGCTGTTGACGAAATCCGACAACAGGATTGTCAAGACGAAAGAAACAAGTTTGGTGTTCATGGTGGCGCAGTGGAAACTAATGCGACTAAGTTTATTTTTGACCCTAAAATTAACCTTTTTATCTATGTGTGTTCCACATACTTTAGATATCGATTAATATTTATGATCTCTGTCGGTTGATGTTACATCTATTTGTGTCACAAGTTTCGCACCATGACACAGCCCCATTGGTCAAAGTTCGTTGTAAATTTTGACAAATCGAGTGTGCGTAGCCTTCGTAGCACCCTCTATACACACCAGGTTGCTCTTTGTTATCAAAATCTAAAAACACAAGTCAGACAAATTTTGATTCATTTTATACTCACTCGGTGTGTAATGAATGGAAAAACATCGCATGTTTCGTGATTCCGGGCAATGGGTGACTTTGACGTTGTGGTGAACTGGGTCATGACATCTTCCAGGAGAAGTCGGATCGCAATCGTAACACATCAAATTGGCCCCAACTACAACCAAAAACGTAAAAACTGTCTCCAATTTTCGCTCTTACCTGAAACGCAAAGACACAGCAAAATTGCGCAGACTTGGTCCATCCCGAATACGTAGCAAACTGATCAAAGTTTACAAGCTTGACCTTTCCAACCCCGACGAAACCGTTATTAAAAAACTTTATTCGTGTTCTCTCGTGGAAGCGATTTTAGTCGGACGAAAAATTAATTTTGCTTCAAACAATCCGAGTTTAGTTTAATTAAAGCAAGTTTTTGTTGGACGGACGGATTTCAAGCTAATTAAAACGAGTTAGTGGAGAGAGTGCAGGAGGTTATCACACAATCGCTGACGTTCGTTTAAGGATTATCAGTGTCTTGGTTTCCACGAACATGCAATCACTTGACTTGTTGATTCTGGTAATAATTTCGTCTTCCGGTGACGCTAAATTGGGAAAAAGTGGAATTTTCGACAATGTCACGCTTTTGGTGACAAGATTGGGTGAACCCAGTCACGTGGTTGTGGTAGATTTCGACGACAGTTTGACTAAGTATGTCGTACCATCGTCAGAAGGAATCGTCATCAAAGACCAACTTATCCCCAAATTGGACACCAACTGCATAAGTGATTTCCCCAAACTCAAAAATTTGTCACTGGTTTCAAACGGAATTCGCGAAATCCGGCGTGGGGCTTTCAAAAATCTGCCAAATTTGAAACTTTTGAACCTCTCCCACAACGACATTGAAGAAGTCCGTCAAGGAATCTTCAACCACCTCCCCATGGAAGATTTATACCTAAACAACAACAAAATCTCCCGTATTGGTTACAAAGCCTTCAGTCACCTCCACCTCAGGAACTTGTTCTTAAACAACAATAAAATCTCTCGTTGGAGCAAAGATTGGTTCGCTGACAGTTCGGTGCTAATTTTGGACTTGAGTTACAACCTAGTGGAAGAGCTGCCACCGAATTCATTCCATTTAATGTCAGAACCGGTCAATGGCAGCATGAGTCTTATCTTTAGTGGTAACCAGTTGAAAAAAATCAACAATCACGTCTTTAATGGCTTCGACAAGCTCCGGAGTATTTTCCTCGACAGCAATTTAATCGAGCGCTTGGCCCCGGGAGCTTTTAATGGCGTGAAGTACGTAAATAGTGTGAATTTAAACAACAACAGCTTAACCGAAATCCGGGCTGAAGTGTTGCGCGGGACTCAGGTCGACGTGTTGATGCTCGAAGACAACAAGCTGAGGTGCCTTTCCACGGATCTCTTCCGGATGGAGGAACTGGACATTGATGGTAATCCCATTACGTGTTTCTGCGTGAAGACGTGGCTGGATTGGAGAGAGCGGCACAGTAATCCGTCGATTTACCACATCACTAATTTGGAGGAAGAGTGTATCTGAGATTGTTAAAATCGAGTTATAAAATTTGCATAAGGTCGGGCTTTTGCAGCAGTTTTATGTTGTTTTAAAAGGAGGAATTGGCGGACTAAACAGCGTTATAAATTTTGAACGATGGCGGTGCATGTGGATGAGGTCGGTGGAGCGGGATGAAAAATTAAAATTGCCGAGTGTTGCTTTATTTATTGCGGCTTATGTTCATGCGGGGTATTAGCAGCGTGGGAATTTTCAATGACTGGGGGAATAGTGGGAGAAAGGCATCTTCGGCGAAATTGTTGTATTTAAATTGTATAAACAATATATTTCTATATTTGAGATGTCTTTTATTTCGCCCCTATTTTTTGCTAGAGCAATCTAGATTTTTAGAAAAAAAAAATTGCCGTCCGTAGCGTTTTTTTTTTTAAATAATTTATAAAATCTTGGGGACCATAAATTTTTGCTTTTGAAAGAAATTAGAACAATATTGCTGTCTTTGAATGAGGCTAAGAGAACCTAAGAAAACTCTAGAGACCTCGGAAATTCTATTAAATCTTAAAAAAAACACCGTTTTTCAATTTTTCGGTTTTTCGATTCTTCAGTTTTCCGATTTTCAAATTTCTCGGTTTTTTAAATTTTCGATTTTTCAAATTTTCGACTTTACGATATTTGAGTCGATTTCTTGACATCCCTTTTTTTGATTTTCAAAATTTTTCGAATTTCTCGACTTTTCAACTTTTCAATTTTTAAATTTTCTGATTCGATTTTTCGATATTTCAGTTTTTCAATTCTTCAATTCTACTTTTTTTTCCTTTTTTATGTTCAAATTTTTTTTCTCAATTTTGTTATTTTTCGATTCTTAAAATTTTTGAATTTTTCAATTTTTAACTTTTTTTTCTCAATCTTTGATGTTTCGTCTCTCGATGTTTCGGTTTCTCGGTTTTCCGGTTATTCACTTTTCCGATTTTCGATTTTTCAATTTTTCTTCCTTTCAGTTTTGGAATTTTTCAATATCTCGATTGTTGGGTTTTTTGATTGTTCAATTTTCCAATTTTGCGGCTTTTAAATTTTTGATTTTTAGGTTTTTCGATTTTGTCAATTTTTCGATTTTTAAATTTTTCTGTCTTTAAATTTTACACTTTTCAATTTTTTGATGTTTCGATTTCTCGATTTCTCAAATTTTCGATTTGATTTCTTGAAATCCCTTTTTTTTCGACTTTTTGGTTTTTTGGTTTCTCGATTTTTCAATTTTTCAATTCTCCTATTTTTCAATTTTTCGATTTTTTAAATTTTTGAGTTCTCGGTTGTTCGATTTTTCGACTTTTCAACTTTCTGATTTTTCAATTTTTTTGAAATTTTTAAATTTTAGACTTCAATTTTTCGATTCTTCAGTTATATTTCTTTTTCATTTTTTTAAATTCAAAATTTTTAATTTCTCAATTTTTCTATTTTTCGATTTTACGATTTTTTAATTAGATTTCTTGACCATCTCGGTTTTTTATTTTTAAAAGTTGTCGACTTTTCGATTTTAAGATTTCTCGAATTTTCAATTTTTCGATTTGACGATTTTTTGAATCAATTTCAATGACATCTACATTTTTCGACTTTCATATTTTTCAATTTTTCGATATTTAAATTTTTCAATTTTTTAATTGTTGGATTTTTCGATTTCTCGATTCTTTATCGATTTTTCAGTTCTTGGATATTTCTATTTTTCAATTTTTCTAATTTTTGATTTTTCAGTTTATTGATTTTCCAATTTTCATACGATTTTTTGTCACTTCGGTTTTTTGATTTTTAAAATTTTTCTACTTTTTAATTTTTAGGTTTCAGGATTTTTCGGTTTTTCAATTCTTCAATTCTCCGATTTTTGAGTGTTTCGATTTTTTAAATTTTAGATTTTTCGAGTTCTTGGTTTTTAGGTTTTTCAATTTTTTGATTCTTCAATTTTTCTATTTTTTTTATTCAAAATTTTTAATTTCTCAGTTTTTCTATCTTTCACTTTATAAAATTTTCGATTTCTTGACACATATTTTCTGATTTTTAAATTTTTAGACTTTTAGATTTTTGGATTTTTAAATTTGTCCTTTCTTCAGTTTTTCGATTTTCCACTTTTTTGTGCAATTTTTCGCTTTTTCAATTTTTCGTTTCGGTTTTTTTTCGTTTCGATTTCACAATTTTTCAATTTTTCGATTCTTCAATTCTTTTTTTTTTATTTTGTTTAAATTCAAAATTTTATATTTTTCAATTTCCCAATTTTTCGATTTTACGATTTTTTGATTGGATCTCTCGATATTTCGGTTTTCGATTTTTAAAATTCTTTGACTTCTGGGTTTTTCAATTCTTCAATTCGCTGATTTTTTAATTTTTCGATTTTAAAAAATTTCGATTTTTAAATACTAGCCCTTTCAATTTTTTGATGTCTCGATTTTTCGATTATTCAATTTTTCGATGCTTCAGTTCGTCTATTTTTTGATTCACTTTTTTTAATTCAAAATTTTTAATTTCTTAATTCTTCCATTTTTCGTTTTTCAAACTTTCGACTTTTTCATTTTTAGATTTCTCAATTTTTCAGTTTTTCAATTTTTTTAATTTTGGATTTTTCGTGTTCGTTTTTGGATTTTTCGACTTTTCGATTTTTCAATTTTTTTGATTTTTAAAAACTTCAATTTTTAAATTTTAGGCTTCAATTTTTCGATTCTTCAATTCTATTTCTTTTTCATTTTTTTAAATTCAAAATTTTTAATTTCTCAATTTTCCTGTTTTTCGATTTTACGATTTTTTGATTCGATTTCTTGACCCTCTCGGTTTTTTTATTTTTAAAAGTTGTCGACTTTTCGATTTTAAGATTTCTGGAATTTTCAATTTTTCGATTTGACGATTTTTTGAATCAATTTCAATGACACCTAAATTTTTCGACTTTTTGATTTTTAGACTTTTATATTTTTCAATTTTTCGATATTTAAATTTTTCAATTTTTTAATTGTTGGATTTTTCGTTTTCTCGATTCTTTATCGATTTTCAGTTCTCGGATATTTCTATTTTTCAATTTTTCGAATTTTTTATTTTTCAGTTTATTGACTTTTCAATTTTCATTTTACGATTTTTTGACACTTTGGTTTCTTGATTTTTAAAATTTTTCGATTTTTCAACGTTTCGATTTTTTAAATTTTAGATTTTTGGAGTTCTCGGTTTTAAGATTTTT